CACAGCCCCAACCCAACCCTACCTGTACCCTCAATCAACCCCCAACTCACCCACCGCACTTGCCCACACCCTTTAAAACCTAAGCCTGAACTCCCACCCAACCTGGTTCATGGATACTAGAGCCTCCCATCACATCACCGCTGACCCAGGTACTTTATCTCATGTATTTTCTTCAAACATTTATTCACCCTCTCATATTATTGTAGGTAATGGATCCACAGTGTGTACTACGGCCTCTGGTAACGGTCTCCTTAACACAAACCCTCCCATTTCCCTGAAAAATGTCCTTGTCTCCCCACACATCATCCATAACCTTATTTCTGTTCGTCAATTTACTCGTGATAACAACTGTTCTGTTGAATTTGACTCATCCAGTTTTTCTGTGAAGGACAAACGGACGGGAGCCGTGATTCATCGATCCAGTAGTGACGGACACCTCTACCCATTCTCTCAAGACCATCCTCCAGCGCACATTCACCTCGCTAAAGCCGACCTACCCACATGGCACCGCCGTCTTGGCCATCCAAGCCCAGCAGTTCTCCATGGCCGAGGTCAACAATGAAAGAACCAATTACCTCCCCGTGCCAAAGCCGGTATATTTTGTCCTAAACAAATCCTAAACCTCAACACCGTTGCCGAGGTCTCCCCTATCCCCTCACCTACCGTAGCGCACTCAAGGATCTAAACTGGTACAATGTTATGCAGGATGAATTTAATGCTTTGATTGCTAATAATACATGGGATTTAGTACCCCCCCTCCCCCAACCAAAATTTTATCTCTGGCAAATGGCTTTTCAGGCACAAACTTAGCCCCACAAGTGAACTGTCCAGGTATAAGGCACGTTGGGTTGTCCGTGGGTTCAATCAGCGCCATGGCATTGATTATGATGAGACGTTGAGCCGGTGGTCAAGCCCGCGACCATACGCATCATCCTCAGCTTGGCCGTCTCTCGGGGATGGCAGATCCACCAGATGGATGTCAAGAACGCCTTCCTTCATGGTTCCCTCACAGAGACTGTCTACACAGCTCAACCATCTGGATTTCAGAATCCTGCTCGTCCTCACTATGTTTGCAAACTGAACAAGGCGCTCTACGGTCTGAAATAAGCACCGCGGTCATGGTACCAGCGCTTCACGGGCTTCCTTCTCTCCATTGGGTTCCGCGGTTGCAAGAGCGATACCTCCTTGTTCACTTATGGCCAAGGGTCTCAGATGGCGTTCTTGCTTCTATATGTCGATGACATCATTCTCACAGCCTCCACCCAGGCACTCCTTCAAAGTACAGCGCACGACTCATGGGTTATTTCTTACTCAGACTCAGTTCCTTTATGACATTCTTGAGCGTGCAGGAATGCTTTCCTGCAAACCCATCTCCACACCAGCTGACACACGCGGGAAGCTCTCGGCGTCAGTAGGTCCCCCAGCACCGGATCCCACCCTGTACCGGTCCATTGTAGGGGCGCTACAGTACCTCACCTTCACCCGTCCCGACATCACTTATGCCGTCCAGCAGCTGTGTCTTTTCCTACATGATCCACGCACCCCGCATGTCACAACAATGAAACGGGTGCTACGGTACCTCCATGGGACTCCCTCTCACGAAATTTCTATCTCTCCGTCTCCCATGGATTTTATGCGGGCTTACTCGAATGCTGACTAGGCCGGTTGTCCTAACACTCGCCGATCCACGACCGGTTACCGCATCTTCCTCGTGACAATCTTATTTCATGGTCAACCAAACATCAGCAAACCACGTCCCGATCAAGCGCGGAGGCGGAGTACAGGGCCGTAGCGAATGCAGTAGCTGAAGTTAGTTGGGTGCGTAACTTACTCCAGGAACTTCAGCAACCTATCAGTCGTTCTACCTTGGTGTTCTGTGACAACGTTAGTGCCGTCTATCTTTCAGCTAATCCTGTCAAACACCAGCGCACAAAACATATCGAGGTTGATATCCACTTTGTTCGAGATAAGGTCGCTCTCGGCCATATACGTGTTCTCCATGTTCCTTCTTCATTGCAGTATGCAGATATCTTCACAAAGGGACTCCCAACCATGATCTTCACAGAATTTTGAGATAGCTTGGGGATCCGGAAATCATCACCAGTGCCGTTGGGAGCATGTTAAATATAGTAACTCTATATTTAATATATTATGCATATATTATTATATATTGTATATTCTAGTTACCATTCTTGTGTAGATTACCTTTATTGTATATTCTCTTAGTATATAATTACTTGTAATCTCACATTATACATTATTGGAAAATATTAAATCTTTCACAATGTCTTTTTCTGCAGCCTCTTGTGCCTTCTTGAAATACATTTATTTCTCATCCTCCACATGGGGGCATGTAAATAATTTCACAAGTATGACATACTTAGAATAAATGCCATCGGCAAGATAATATATGTATATGTTATAAGAGTCATTATAAATAAAAGAAGATGGAGGTGCAACTCTATTATAAACATCATCGAATATCGGAGATTGATCTAGGACGTTGATATCGTTACACGATCCTGGAATGCTATAGTACGCATGCCATATCCAAAGATCATTTGAAGCGAACGCTTCAAGCATTAGCGTTGGACTTGAGTGATCACCTTTTTTATGTGACCCTCGCCAAGATGTGGGAAAATTTTCCTACACCCAGTGTGTACATTCAATGCTTCTGAGCATCCCAGGGAAATTGTGCACATGCCCATGGACGACATATATCTGTTGAATGTCGCTCCACATCGGCTTTTGAAAATATCTACAACGTATAGATTGATGATTCTTATAAATAAAAGTATATCATGTACATATGTTCGGTATGATATATTAAACTAAAAATGATGTACATACGTTCATGTAAAAAAAATTACCTTTACAGAAAACGATAGAGACTATTAGATAATTAATTATAGTTAATATTAATTATGGTAGGGCCAGCTTCTAATATTGTTTCCTAGTCCTAGTTGGGATTGTATTCCCTTGTATATTTACTCCACACACCTTTTATTCCTTTATTCCTTGAATAATACAATTATTACATTATTTAATATGGTCGGAGAAAAAATATGCCATGGAACTTGTCTATCGAGCCGACCTAGATGACTGCAAGCCAACCTCCTCCCCGTTGCCTGTTTGGTTGCATGATACTGAGGGTGGGGGTGAGCTTTTCTCTGATCCTACCTTATTCTGAAGTCTGGTTGGGGGTCTTCAGTATCTTACTACTTCTTGTATGACATTCGGTTTGCTGTGAATTATGTGTGTCAACGCATGCATAACTCTACGAAGATTGATTTTTGGAGTTTAAAGCGGATTTTGTGTTTTGTTAATGGGATGGTTGACAGAGGACTTTTATTTGAGTTTGGTGATCTTCAAGTATGAGCCTACTCTGATTCTAATTGGGAAAATGACATGAAGGATGGGTGCTCTGCCATGGGTTATCTTGTATACCTCAGTCTGAATTTAATCTCATGGAGTATAAAAAACAGAGTCGTGTATCTAAATCCTTTACTGAAGCAGGAATATAGAGCCCTATCGTTAGTTGCCTAAGCAGTTATGTGGTTGACTTATGTTCTTACTGATCTGCGTGTTCTAGTATCACATTCATAGTTTTTTGTGATAATCACTCTGTTATTTTCCTTACGAAGAATCCAGTATTCCATATGCGTATAAAGCATGTTGGCACAGATTGTCATTTTTTTCGTGAACAAATTATTACCGGTACCATGAATGCGTCTCATGTTTTCTCTGAGGACCAGGTCACTGAATTATTAACAAAGTCTTTGTCTAAGCCACATTTTCATGTTCTTGTTTCCAAGCTTCCACTCGTGTCACGAGGTTCAGCTTGAGGAGGGAGTGTTAGACAATTAATTATAGTCAATATTAATTATTAGACTTTGTAGTTTAGCCAGTTTCTATTATTGTTCCCTAGCCCTAGTTGGGATTGTCATTCCTTCTATATATACTCCACCTTGTAATTCTTTATTCGTTGAGTAATATAATTATTCCATTATTATTTAATAGAGACTATCACGAGAAATTTAATCTAACATCTTCAAATAGTCATCCCATGATACACTTGTTGTGTTGTGTGCGAGATGTCAGATACCGGTTGTGCACTCCTGCAACAAAGTGAATCCTTTCACTCTCGTAGTATTTATCTGTTATTGAAAAAAGGGAAAATGTTCCTACATGTCACTGACAATAAAATTGAATAAATTGAGAGTCATTCGGAAATGACGTTTAAATTGATCGTTGTTTTAAACTGAAGTTTAGAAAAAATAATATTCAATAAGCTGCTGGTTTGTAGACCCATAATCGCGGTTGATCCTTCCCTTATGCGTAATCTCTTGGAAGAGTTTTCATTAGAAATGGCCACGATAGTGCTTACCGTAACTTCAACACAACATATAAACATAAAAGCTGAATCGTCCTTGTTGAAAGTTGATAACTTAATTTTTTTCATCCAAATCCATTTTTTTTCTATGGAATATGTAGTGGAGATATGGGGTTAAGGTACCCACTCATCTCTACTCAATTTATAGGATTTTTTTGAACCTAACGACTACTTTTCAAAATTAAAAAAAATGTGACAGTCAAGGGCTACAAAGCCGTTCAGAGATAATAAAATCACATCAATTGTTTTATGGTTCATAGCGAGAGGTTTAACATAATGTTTAAGTTAGGTATTTTTACCATTATGATCGAGTCACGTAGTATAGATTTCGAGGATC